TTCTCTATAAAAAATTTTTTTAGCCATTGAAATTATTCTGCTAGTTGTTACTTTTAGTGATGTATTTTGCAATCCTAACTGGCTGAAGAATTTTTAATAAGGCTGAACTACAAAGCACACATTTGCACCAAGAACTTACATTAATTCATAGAGGTCTGTAAAATTTTGCATGAAGTTAGTACCAAAAAAACTTTCCATTGCAGATCATGCTGTTATTTCTTAATACTCTGCAGAAGGATTATAGAAATCAAAAAAATTCTAGGACCTTGAAACCTTTCTTATTTTGTTCCTTTTACAATAATGAAGTAGTATATGGCCATCCTTAATGCTAATAATGAAGGTGTTGGAAACTGAGTCCCAAGGCCTAAGCATCAAGCCAGGGCTAAATTTCACCAAGTCATTCATGAGGATATGAATGGAAGCACTTCATGAAGAATCTGCTGTAATTGCTCATCTGCACAATACAGCTGAATGAGGTGACCAATCGAGTATTCAATAACAGTGATGAAAACTGGCATCAGCTTTCATCCACGTGCTCAGCTGTCATGTCAATTTGTGCTGACACTGCCATGCATGATCATGTTTGAGTCCGTCAGGCATGATGAAGGCCTTCCTTAAGCTAAAGGATTTAGGTCCAGAAGAACTCTGGGTTGGAGTTCTCCAGTCCCAGAGGCTAATTCAAACGCAGAGGAAAATCTTACAAGAAATCATAGATCTCAGTTCAGAAAAGAAAGCATTTTCATCATCAAGATGAAAACTTATACTGTAAAACAATGGTCTGGTTTCCTGACGACAAGCGCAATGCTGCCTAAGTACAGTCACACAGGTGAAGCTGCTTTGGCAGAGGTAACAACCAGAAGACTGCAGTGGGCTTGAAGCATGAGAAAGTGGCTTTTCTTCTTAGGTGGTAAGGTAGATGCTATAAGCAATCAATATGGGATAGCTTTTTAAATTCCCAGGACACACAGTAACATTTTATATATTTTAAAGCCCCAATTAGTGCAGTGTGGATGCAGCTAAAAATACGAGTAATGTGTCAAGAGTGATGATGTAATAAGCCAAGTAGTGAGGCTAGTTCTAGAAGGGCTACAAGAAACGCCAGTCCTGATACTCCTTGTAGACTGAGGAGCAGACTATGGCCAGAGAATGTATTTTATAATCTGTAGTTTAAAAAGATTACTCTTCAGAAATTTGCAGACCAAGCAAAAATTAAAGATTCCTCCCGACACAGGCCCTGAGATCTTCCCCCACCTCTATCCAAAGGATCCACACTTGTCTCTGCTCAACCAGGCCCAGGTCAAGGCTTGGAAGGGAAGATGGAGGAGGCAAGGCCAGAAGCCAGGGATTCAAAAGAGAGAAATGATGGTAGATGTGGGGTGTAAAAAGATGAGAGGGGAAGGGAAGAATGGGGGGGAAAGAGAAAGTAACACTGGTGAAGAAGCAATGAGAGGCCAGACTTTTCAGCAGCAGCCCTGCCTTTGCCGCCTGCCTGCGGCAGATGAGGAGGGATAAGAAAAGCGGTAAGCCTCCCACAGGGACTCTCCTGGTGCATCAGACTTGCCCCGGGCTAGGAACCTCCAGGTGTGACCTGCAAGTACTTCCATCCCAGGGCCCGATTCCTCATTCCCAGGGGCACAGCGCTGGCTCCCGCTACCAGCAACCGTTTCTCTGGCAAGGATGAGCAGCAGCCAGTGGACCCAGACTTTGTGGCTGCCACTGCCTTTCCTCTCTCAGGACTGGCTTGTCTCTCCCCCTGGTGGTTGGAGAAGGAGAACAGAGTGACTCATAAAAGAGAGACTCAATTCAGAACTGTATCGCCTCACTTCACAACTTCCAAAGGGCTGCTGAGATTCATTCATCATAGATGATGGTTAAAATACCACCTAAGGAAATCATTGCAAAAGGAGCAACTTGCTTATAAGGTCACACCAAACTTTCAGTGGTTCTGATGTTGTCTGCTTCATTTTTTGTTATTTCCTCCTCTGATGATGAATTTTTTAAAAAAGAAAAAAGTGAAAGGTTCCTCCTGTCCTTCCACCCTCCGTCCAGAAACCTTGGGGACTCTCCCAGGTGAAATGCCTAACGGATGCTATAAATTACAAGCTTACAAATGAATGAGAAAAAAATTCAGATGATCTAGAAATATGAAATTAAGTATAGTGTACAAGAGACTCTTGGTTCTCTTCACTTCATACAAAGGCAAGTCATCTCGGTAAGACGTCCATGAAATGGGAACAGGCACCTGAAATACTGATTTACAAATGACAACACATGAGTGAAAGAGCACTGAGTTTACGTGAAGGAAAACTCCATGTTGGCTACTTCGCCTTTAGGGAGAGTCTGCTTGCACTCCAGTCTCACACTTCTTTCTTTTCCTCTACTTTCTACTTGATGTTTTTCAGCAGGGCTGTCCGGGCATTCACAACTGCTTTGAAGGCATCTTCACTTCCAGGTGCTACACATTTGTCGGGGTGAAGAAGCACAGCAAGTTTTCGATACGCTTTATTGACTTCATCCCTGTGAAAAGAAGACAAGTTCTATGTCAGTAACAGGGTTAGGCCAAGCCATGGCATGTGAGCTGTTTGGATACACCTAGTATCTCTCACAGTGAGCACATCTCGAATAATCATGACCCTTTCTCAAAGGCAGGACTAAAAGACATAAACAACAAACAAATAAGTCATATGTAATATGCAAATAGAAAAAAATAATACAATGCAGAATGAGTACATAAATGCTAAGGAAACGCTTGGCAAAAGAATGATCAGATGAAAATAGGCAGTACTTGGTACCTCACAGGCACTCAGCAAATCTTTGCTGACTGAAGGAATAAGGGCGTGTGCATGGCTCTGGGAGAGAACTGATGGTGGCCAAGAACGGTGCAGACCAAAAGCAAAACAACCAAAACACCTGGGTTTGATAAA